CTCTCTTCGATTTTGAGAAAGTAGTCATGTTGGGAGTCTGGCTCTCGAGATTCGGAGGACGGTGCCTCTTCGATTTTGGAGCAAGCAATCTTGTTGGGAGTGTTTTCTCGAATGTGAGTAAAGGTTGGGCATGTTTGCTAGTCTACCTTGCCACGAAGCACAGAGGTTGACACACAGGGACTTTCCAATTATCCAGCAGTGGTACTGTTCCTTTACCCTTGTGGGTAATAATATGGTAGCTAGACCTTCAAAATTTATGTGTCTAAACTTTGTTAGTGCTGTTTCTTTGCTATTCTTTTACCTTTCTTGGTCAGAGCGATGTAGTGGGAGCTGCAAGCTTCACGTGCTCAACTTTGGCAGAGAACTTTGGCAAAGTTATCTGTGGTACCCATGAGCTATTGTTGCGTGTGGGAAGTGGGTGATTGAACAGTAAGATTCATGTGCTTTCTACTTCACCAGAAGTCTTCGACAGAATGCCCATAATTTCTGCAAAGCTGAGTGTGCGTGTGACAGGTGCTGACAAGGCTAGAAAAGTAGGTGCCTCTTCGATTTCTGAGATCGGCCCTCGTGGTCTCTGAGCAGCCCAGCTTTTGAGAAAGCGAGCGCCTCTTCGATTGATTCGGAGAACGATGCCTCATCGATTTTTGAGAAAGCAATCATGCTGGGGGTCTGGCTCTCGAGATTCGGGGAGCAGTGTCTCTTCGATTTTTGAGAAAGTAATCATGTTGGGAGTCTGGCTCTCGAGATTCGGAGGGCGGTGCCTCTTCGATTTTGGAGCAAGCAATCTTGTTGGGAGTGTTTTCTCGAATGTGAGTAAAGGTTGGGCATGTTTGCTAGTCTACCTTGCCACGAAGCACAGAGGTTGACACACAGGGACTTTCCAATTATCCAGCAATGGTACTGTTCCTTTACCCTCTCTTCGATTTTTAAGAAAGTAGTCATGTTGGGAGTCTGGCTCTCGAGATTCGGAGGACGGTGCCTCTTCGATTTTGGAGCAAGCAATCTTATTGGGAGTGTTTTCTCGAATGTGAGTAAAGGTTGGGCATGTTTGCTAGTCTACCTTGCCACGAAGCACAGAGGTTGACACACAGGGACTTTCCAATTATCCAGCAGTGGTACTGTTCCTTTACCCTTGTGGGTAATAATATGGTAGCTAGACCTTCAAAATTTATGGGTCTAAACTTTGTTAGTGCTGTTTCTTTGCTATTCTTTTACCCTTCTTGGTCAGAGCGATGTAGTGGGAGCTGCAAGCTTCACGTGCTCAACTTTGGCAGAGAACTTTGGCAAAGTTATCTGTGGTACCCATGAGCTATTGTTGCGTGTGGGAAGTGGGTGATTGAACAGTAAGATTCATGTGTTTTCTACTTCCCCAGAAGTCTTCGACAGAATGCCCATAATTTCCGCAAAGCTGAGTGTGCGTGTGACAGGTGCTGACAAGGCTGGAAAAGTAGGTGCCTCTTCGATTTCTGAGATCGGCCCTCGTGGTCTCTGGGAGCCCAGCTTTTGAGAAAGCGAGCGCCTCTTCGATTTCTGAGATCGGCCTTCGTGGTCTTTGAGCAGCCCAACTTTTGAGAAAGCAAACGCCTCTTCGATTTCTGAGATCAACCCTCGTGATCTCTAAGCAGCCCAGCTTTTGAGAAAGCAAACGCCTCTTCGATTTCTGAGCAGGCGCCTCTTCGATTTCTGAAGCTCCGTCGAGTGCAGATTTTTTATAGGGGCTGGCATTAAGTTCCAAAGCACACTTGAATCTCCACCAGTAGAAGCTTCATTCTTGCACTTCTAAGATCTTGATTTGTCCGACCTCTTCTCTCTTCAACACCTTTGAAAATGTCTGGCCCCTCCGACCGTCGTTTTGACTTGAACCTTGTTGAAGAGGCAGCCCCGCCTTCTCCAGACAACATATGGCGCCCATCCTTCGTCTCCCCTACTGGTCCTCTTACCGTTGGGGATTCCGTGATGAAGAATGATATGACCGCTGCGGTGGTGGCCAGGAACCTTCTCACTCCCAAAGATAACAGACTACTTTCCAAACGGTCTGATGAGTTAGCTGTTAAGGATTCGCTGGCTCTCAGTGTTCAGTGTGCAGGTTCTGTGTCTAATATGGCCCAACGCCTATTTGCTCGAACCCGCCAAGTTGAATCATTGGCGGCTGAAGTGATGAGTCTCAAACAGGAGATTAGAGGGCTCAAGCATGAGAATAAACAGTTGCACCGGCTCGCACATGACTATGCTACAAACATGAAGAGGAAGCTTGACCAGATGAAGGAAACTGATGGTCAGGTTTTACTTGATCATCAGAGATTTGTGGGTTTGTTCCAAAGGCATTTATTGCCTTCGTCTTCTGGGGCTGTACCGCGTAATGAAGCTCCAAATGATCAACCTCTGATGCCTCCTCCTTCTAGGGTTCTGTCCAGTACTGAGGCTCCAAATGATCCCCCTCCGGTGCCTTCTCTTTCTGGGGCTCTACCGACTGCTGAGACTTCTCCTAAGCAACCTTTGTGAAGGCTCCCTCTTGTGTGTTTATTTTGACTCATGTATATGTACATATTTGTAGCTTATCGGGGATATCAATAAATAAGCTTTCCTTCATTTCAACGTATTGTGTTAAATACACCAAAGCCTTCTTCGCTAAGTTCTTTGAATTTTCTTTTGTTGAAGCTTGTATGTTGAAGCTTTCTGAGTGGAGCATGTAGGTTGGGGTAGTGTTCCCTTAATTTCCCGAGTGAGGAAAACTTCTCGGTTGGAGACTTGGAAAATCCAAGTCACTGAGTGGGATCGGCTATATGAATCTTAGAACGCCATTGTGTGCTCGATCCTGTGTCATGTCCTTCGTTAGATCCAAGTACTCTAAGTCTTTTCTTAGAGTCTCTTCCAAAGTTTTCCTAGGTCTTCCTCTACCCCTTCGGCCCTGAACCTCTGTCCATAGTCGCATCTTCTAATCGGAGCGTCAGTAGGCCTTCTTTGCACATGTCCAAACCACCGTAACCGATTTTCTCTCATCTTTCCTTCAATTTCGGCTACTCCTACTTTACCCCGGATATCCTCATTCCTAATCTTATCCTTTCTCGTGTGCCCACACATCCAACGAAGCATCCTCATCTCCGCTACACCCATTTTGTGTACGTGTTGATGTTTCACCGCCCAACATTCTGTGCCATACAGCATCGCCGGCCTTATTGCCGTCCTATAAAATTTTCCCTTGAGCTTCAGTGGCATACGGCGGTCACACAACACGCCGGATGCACTCTTCCACTTCATCCATCCAGCTTGTATTCTATGGTTGAGATCTCCATCTAATTCTCCGTTCTTTTGCAAGATAGATCCTAGGTAACGAAAACGGTCGCTCTTTGGTATTTCTTGATCTCCGATCCTCACCCCTAACTCGTTTTGGCCTCCATTTGCACTGAACTTGCACTCCATATATTCTGTCTTTGATCGGCTTAGGCGAAGACCTTTAGATTCCAACACTTCTCTCCAAAGGTTAAGCTTTGCATTTACCCCTTCCTGAGTTTCATCTATCAACACTATATCGTCTGCGAAAAGCATACACCAAGGAATATCATCTTGAATATGTCCTGTTAACTCATCCATTACCAACGCAAAAAGGTAAGGACTTAAGGATGAGCCTTGATGTAATCCTACAGTTATGGGAAAGCTTTCGGTTTGTCCTTCATGAGTTCTTACGGCAGTCTTTGCTCCTTCATACATATCCTTTATAGCTTGGATATATGCTACTCGTACTCCTTTCTTCTCTAAAATCCTCCAAAGAATGTCTCTTGGGACCCTATCATACGCTTTTTCCAAATCTATAAAGACCATGTGTAAATCCTTTTTCCCATCTCTATATCTTTCCATCAATCTTCGTAAGAGATAGATTGCCTCCATGGTTGAGCGCCCTGGCATGAACCCGAATTGGTTGTCCGAAACCCGTGTCTCTTGCCTCAATCTATGCTCAATGACTCTCTCCCAGAGCTTCATTGTATGACTCATTAGCTTAATACCCCTATAGTTCATGCAATTTTGTACGTCGCCCTTATTCTTGTAGATAGGCACCAAAGTGCTCGTTCGCCACTCATTTGGCATCTTCTTCGTTTTCAAAATCCTATTGAAAAGGTCAGTGAGCCATGTTATACCTGTCTCTCCCAAAACTTTCCACACTTCGATTGGTATATCGTCTGGGCCTATTGCTTTTCTATGCTTCATCTTCTTCAAAGCTACAACCACTTCTTCCTTCCGGATTCGACGATAAAAAGAGTAGTTTCTACACTCTTCTGAGTTACTCAACTCCCCTAAAGAAGCACTCCTTTCATGTCCTTCATTGAAAAGATTATGAAAATAACCTCTCCATCTGTCTTTAACCGCGTTCTCTGTAGCAAGAACCTTTCCATCCTCATCCTTGATGCACCTCACTTGGTTTAGGTCCCTTGTCTTCTTTTCCCTTGCTCTAGCTAGTTTATAGATATCCAACTCTCCTTCTTTGGTATCTAGTCGTTTATACATATCGTCGTAAGCCGCTAACTTAGCTTCTCTGACAGCTTTCTTCGCCTCTTGCTTCGCTTTTCTATACCTTTCACCATTTTCATCGGTCCTCTCCTTGTATAAGGCTTTACAACATTCCTTCTTAGCCTTCACCTTTGTTTGTACCTCCTCATTCCACCACCAAGATTCCTTTTGGTGTGGGGCAAAGCCCTTGGACTCTCCTAATACCTCTTTTGCTACTTTTCGGATACAACTAGCCATAGAATCCCACATTTGGCTAGCTTCCCCCTCTCTATCCCACACACATTGGGTGATTACCTTCTCTTTGAAAATGGCTTGTTTTTCTTCTTTTAGATTCCACCATCTAGTTTTGGGCACTTCCTAGAAAAAGTAAAAGTAAAATAACAAAATAATATACTAGCGAGATTGGTTAGGTTTTCGTCATCATCTACTCAGTGTCCCTTGTCCTAGGACTTCTTGTTCTTAGTAGATGAGAGAGTATTTACTGCATCATTTACTACTAGGGTGTGGCTGAACTGGAGCTGAACTGGTTTTGGCAGTTTGTATGGAATACTCTCTCTCTCTCTCTCTCTCTCTCTCTCTCTCTCCAGATCTAGTGGTAGAGAGCATCGTTCGAGTGCTTAGTTTTCTCGTTCTGTTACTCATTTTCCTTATCTTGATTCATCACTTTGGATAATTTTGTTTCTATTGCTCTTTTCTCTATCTTTTTCTGCATTTCACAATTAATTCATTATCGGCTTAATTTGATTAGTTCTGGAAGAGAGAGAGATATATATTTAGATCCTTTAGAAGGTTAGAGAGAGAGATGTAGATTTCTGAGAGAGAGAGAGAGAGATGTAGATTTCTGAGAGAGAGAGAGAGAGAGAGATGGCAAAATATGGAAATTAACCAAAAATCAAGGAACCAACCATCAAGCAATCCTTAACTGGATCAAGGAAGGCCATTGTGATGATTCCTGTGGACCAGTCCAGCCTGTTAAGGGAGAGGACTTTGTGGGCAAAAACTACTATGTTTCATGGCCATGAGGAGGAGGAGGAGGAGGAGGAGGAGGAGGATGAGACTCTCAGCTAGTTCAATACAATTACCCCAGAGCCAGAGGGCACTTCTGACTGCTGAGGTACCCAAATCTCTCCCCCATTAATTGATTTTATTGCCATTTCACTTGTTAACAATCTGTTTCATATGAATTTGTGTTTTCTTTCCCCTCCTTCTTTATTTGTGCTTTTGCTTGGGTTGGCTCTCATTCAATTTGAGAAATGGACATGTTGCTTTGCTTCTCTGGCTTGCTTTCCCATATTGTTTACTTTCCAGCGATGTGAAAATGTTTTTTCTTAGTTTTTGGTTTTGCAATTTTGTGGTTTCCTCCGTTTTTAATAAATTTGTTTCAGTTTTCTTTCTTTCAATTTTCTGGTTTTCATTGTTCGATCTGTATTAGATTAATTTGATTTGGAGATTGAAAGGAAAAAATGGTAATAAAGGATTTAGCTGAGGTGTTTTGTAAAACAATCCTCCAACTTGCTTGCGTGTTTGTTGAAAGAAAAAATGGTGGAGAATTGTTGTAATCAACCAGAAGAAAATACATAAGGGAAGGGAGGCAAACCATGATTTAGGATCGTACTAGTGTATGTGCATGCCTCCCTGTTTGTGTGGGCTCAGGAGTGCAAGTATCAATTTAGTTTTCAACAAGCTTAAGATCGATACGTTGATCTATCTATTTGATCAGTGGCTAGTACTGACCTATTTTATGGACCCGTGGAACGTAGAACTGTTTTGGATTGGAAATTTTTTGACCTTTCTGCGGGACAATTACACCCCGTAACTTCCAATTGACTGGTGAGACCTTAAACTCTGCCTTTCACCCCCACACGGCACTCTCTCATTCAATTTGAGGATATGCTTGTTTGGTCTGGTCAGTTAATGATTTTTTGAATGACATTGGGTGGAGAGTGTGTTGAAAATTTTGAGTAAAAATTTTATTGTCCCACATTGGTCACTACCAAAAGGTTCTCTCACTTTATAAGGCTTTGTCCCTTATAGAAAGTAATTAGAGTAATGGTAAAATTGGGCTCAACCTTGTGGTGGGGCTTTGAAGTGTACTAATTAATTAATTGATAATTATTATATAATTAATCATGAAATGTTGGGTTCGGAGTGAAGTTTTTGGGATTTAATTTAATCATGAAAAATGTTGAGTTCAACATGATTGAGGGTGTTTAATTCAAAATAAGTGTAAAAAAACCGACTCCACTTAATGGAATAAAATTTTGTTGTATGAAATGTTGCCATCATAGATAAATATTAGTCTTACCAACAATAATAAATTAATATAAGTGTAGACAGAATGTTGTTTACATAAGAAAAAGAAAGAAACAAATATTGGGTCAAACAAAATTTTCCTAATGGATAATTGAATAACGAATATTATTTGTTTAATTCAAAAGTTTTCCTAATGTTTCTCAAGAATGGGAACTATACCTTGACTTATAGTTCATGATAAAGGAATCCTTTAACAAGAGGGATCCTCATTTTTCTAAAAAATTGGGACGCCCGCTTGACCATTAGATTGGCTTTTAATGAAATTGTGTGGTTGAGATTGTGTGGGTTGTGATTTAATCTCAACCACATAATTTCATTAAAGCCAATCCAACGGTCAAGAGGGTGTCCTTATTATTATTTTTAAAACATGAGGATCCCTTTTGTTAAAGGGTCTGCATGATAAATAACATGCCATAACGTGTATTACTTTTATGGTTGGGTTGCATGATAAGGCACCCAAAAAAAAAAAAAAAGTTGCATTGCATGTATTTCGTTTATACAAAAATATGTTGGAGTTAAATTCTCAGTTGGCCACTCCTTTTTTGTGCTTGTTACTTTCCTTGTGTTCCTAGCTTGAGTCTTTGTGATTACAGCACACAGCACACTCTCATTCAATTGGAGGATATGTTGGCCACTTCTTTTTGGAGTTGGAAATTTTTTGACCTTTTTGTGGGACAATTGCATCCCGTAATTTCCAATTGACTGGTAAGACCTTAAACTCTGCCCGGCACACAGCACATGGCACACTCATATTCAATTTGAGGATATGCTTGTTTGGTGTGGTCAATGAATGATTTTTCGAATGACACTGGGTGGAGAGTGGAGAGTGGAGAGTGGAGAGTGGAGAGTGGAAGTGGGTTGCACATTTTGCATAACATGAGGCCTCGAGGCATAAGTCTCGATTTAGAGACCACTAGCAAGGAATGCCCGCACGATGCTGCGGGATTGAGAGTCGTATGGAAACTTTGTGTACAATACCTCAACACAAATGTATATTAAAATGGTGATGGTAAAGATAAGAAGAGATCCCCCTTGTTGGATGTAGCAAGTATGATATCTTCCAAACTCCAATGACAATTCATCTAGTTTAGTTCATGCTATTAATTCGTTTAGGTTATCCACATAACCTCTATGGTGCTTCCCCCAGTGACACCCTAACGTCTCCTTGTTCATATGTGGGTCCGACGCATCCTACTTAAAACGAAATATCAAAACAAAGTGTCAAATTTTAACCAACATAGCTCAAATTTGACATCTATCACAATAGGTAGACCCAAAATTTGATCCAAATCGAAGTTGAAGAATCTCTTAACTTCAAATTTTGGCATCAATCACAATATACCGCGCAAACCAATCATAAGCACATTATCATATAGTCTGATAGAAAGCAGCTAAATGAAATGAAGAGCATAATTCTTCAGTTAATTTCATCAGTCACTTAAATATACACATCACGCCAAATACCGTCGCAATCTCATGGTAAAAATGGACAAATACTATGTAACTTTGCACAAAATATATAGCATGCTAATAAATAGAATATTCCCAAGATAACCCCAACACTTAAGGGCAAATTAGTTATTTTCCCGAAAAGCTTGCGCCGATTATATCCAGCGGATCCCCCAACCCAATTGGATTCTGCAATCTCCTCCTCCAACATGGCCGCCATTGCTCGATCGAATTTCAGAGACGTAGATGATTCTGAAATCTGTAGAATCCGTATGCGTGGTCGCACTCGCCTACTTGTTCTTGGCATGCAAGGCACTGGTAAATCATCTCTTAAGAGACAAGTAAGCCCTTCAATTCTTATCTAAGTTTGAAATTTTTTGGATTGATTGCTGGAAGGGTTGTTGATTTGTTTCTTTTGCATTTAAAATTAAGATGGAGTCGTCCATTTTCACCGAGCGAAACAACGTAGGCCCTAATTGAGTCATCGACTGTTGACTCGGAGCTAGTCGAGAGAGCCGATATTATTTGTTTTGTCGTGGACTCTACTGAACCGAAGTTTACAGAAAATGCAGAGTAGGTAGCTTGCGTTTTTTTTCAATTTAAGTTAATTTAATTTTGTTCTGTAGAGAAGAATGTATCTTGAGATGTTGCCTCATTTCCACCCCTGCAGGTTTCTATACCATCTTTTAGCAAAGATGGATGAGTTTGGTAAGACAAAAACAGACATTCTTGTCATCTTCACCAAGCTAGATAGGCTTGTGACTCACTCGAGAATGATTTTGACTTCATTCTTGATGGATCGACTGTAAGGGTTGCGTGTTTATCTATTTTTGTTTTTCTTTGTTTGTTTTTGTTTCCCTCTCAACACTTGGTGAATTCTTTTTGTAGGCGGGGTACATTAGCGGGGCATTTAATTTGCGACGATTCGAGGAGGTCATCAAGTTCGCCCTTTGTGCAGCCAGGACCGACAAGTGGGATGAACTGCGCCACCTGATTACGGAGTCACAGAGAGCACTACTACGACTACCAGAGACAGAGACAGAGACACACAGAGATATAATTAAGTGACATATGAGTAGATTAATTAATAAGAATTAGTGAGTGATTAGTTATTGTCAGCTGCCAATTTGTTGAGTGGAAGCTTATATATAAGCTCATGCTCTCTTTTAAGGTTAATTAGTTGCTTTCGGCTTTTTTTTCTTTCTTTCTATGAGCTTTTCATTATTGGAGCTCTTGACTGCAAATTGTTTATGGTTGCTCTTTTGGAATGAAGGATGAAGGTGTGGACTTTTTCATAATGGGATTTCTTAAAGGGGTTTACTGTCTACAGTGCTGCTGTTCTTGTTAGGATTAATCGGATTGTTTTTGGGATTTTCGAAAGTTGACAAGAAGTTTGTTATATTGCAGGCGAATTTACAGTTGCTATCTGGCGGTTACTTGCAAAGCAATCAAGCTTATGCTGCCTACCATATTTTAAAGGGTAAGCAAGTAATATGGCATACTGTCTGAGTATATATTCACTTGCGGTTTTTGGTTCCAAGTTATTTGTTTTTCCTTAATAGTATTTCTCATGTACACTTTAGACATTATGTAATCTTTTTCTTACTGTTCCAAATCTTGTTATTTGTATTCAGCTTTCAGCCTGTTCATGTAGTCCAAACAGTGGATGACTTGTTCATTATTCCTGTGGCAGGTTCCAAATGGTGCAGCTGGTCATTACCTTCTGGGGTTTATATACAGGTTTGTCTCCTGTCTTCTGGAGCTTCTGTATATGCATTATAGGGATACTTTATAAGTTTCTTGAAATGGATTTGCTTGTGATGACAGCTAAAATTGGCGTAATCTCTTTTGTGAAAACAATATCGTTTTTTGGCAACTGGTTAATCAATGGTTTTATAAAATCGAAAACTTCTGTGTTGATTATTTATGGTGATTTGGTGCCTTCACAAGTTCAGATGCATATTTAAGTTGTATTTTCCGTTGTTTCAGGGTCTGCTGAAGAAGCTGCTGTATTTTTTGGTGAAGCTGCTCTTCTTTCCATATAAACACAGCATCTAAATCATGGATTAGCTTCTCAAAGTTTACTTACCCTCTGAATGAGGACTCCACTTAGTTTCTGGTAGGAACTTTAGCTGCGAAGATGTTAGCCAGAGACAATTCAAACATGTTCAAGGAAATAATATAAGAGGTATGTCTCGAAATTCTCATGTTAGTTTGGGAGGAGCTTCTGGTCAACCTGTAAATGGAAGTTCTGGTTCATCTTTCTTTAACAACACTCCTTCACCAATTCCCATGCAGGTATATATAGGTTTTCCCTTCCAATTTTTCTCCAGCAGTCTTGCATTTACCGTTGTATCTTTTTCCTTTCTTCCAGTGCTTAATCTTACTATTTGTATCAGTTGACTTTAGGTCTGTTTTATCTTTGTAGCTATGTGTCTGGACCACTTCAGTTAGGTTTTGTCTTGAAAGGAAGTATTTGGTTTCTTTACTGATAAGTTTGTTCTCTTTGTTGTAACTTGTAAAGTAGACCAATTAACGTAGGATAGGTGCAAGGACTACACAGGGATATGCCTGACTATTGGATAGGTGCAAACTTGTCTCTTTACATTACCTTGAGATTGTTTGTCTTCTCTTTTCAGATTTCAAGTTCAAGGAGGTTGTCTTTTGATTCTAGCAACCGGCGGAGCAATGGACTTGCTGCTGAAGCAGGGGGCGACACTAATGCAAGTGCCTCAGTGACAGCTGGAAATGGAACTGCCAATTCATCAAAGTATTTTGGAAGTTCCAAGCTGAGCTCTGTTGCACGTTCCTTGGCAAATCGTAAGGGGAAGCCATGGGCCAATGGAAACGTTGACGAAGGTGATGCGTCTTCTCATTTCCCAGTCATTTGGTGAACTATACTACCATATAGTTATTAGCAGGACAATAAGCCATTTTATCACCAATATACGTAATTTATTCTCTTCTATTAGTATTAATAGAGAAACAACAAATTGCATTATAGTGATTCAAGTCTTTTTCATTTCCTTTGCTCGTATAAGTTTAATAGCATTTCCTGGATAATATAAGTAAAAAGTTACCGCTCAAGGATACCTCCCGATTCTTCTATGCTTGATATGTCCAATGAATTTTCCTCTAATAGTTGTGAATTTCAAATTTGGGTCCTATTTAGGAATGCGCAATGAGACAATCGATGATTTCCGTTCAACAACTGCGGCAGTAGCTTCCGGTTTCACTCCCTCGAGTGATGCCAGATATCTTGAACAAGGAGGAGAAACTCCTATTTAGGAATGCGCGATGAGACATTCGATGATTCCCGTTCAACGACTGCCGCAGTAGCCTCTGGTTTCACTCCCTCTTGTGATGCCAGATATCTTGAACAAGGAGGAGCAACGTCGACTTCGATTATTCTCTTCTATTCCGTCAACTTCTATTAAACTCTCACCGCACCGGCGTGTGGCACTGGCGACGGCGAGCGCGACGGCGACGTCACCCTCTCCGTTACGGTCTAAATATTCTAAACATAAAATGAGGCCTGCACTCCAAAAATCATAGAAGTTCATATACAAAAGTACGTTACGTGATTTTATTGAGTAATTTTCGGCAAATCAAAGGACCTAAGGCTGCTAAACGTCACAAAAAAAGAAAAGAGAAGTCATTAATATGTTTATTTGAGAATTAGTTACTTAGTCACAAAGTTGAATTTTCGTAACTAGTATGTCTTTTGGCTAAAGGTCGACCCCACGAGCACGTCGCCGAAAACCGTTCGTGAAATAGCGCTTTAACGAATAAATTGTTCGTGAAACGGAGCTTTGAGGAAGAAATTATGACCGTTTTAAATTGCCGGTAAAATTGTAAAACGGACTCGCTATTAACAGTCCAAGAATGTCGGAGAACACCAAATCCCGTCCGGCAAATTTCGACGACGTTGGACTTGCCCATCATCACCAAATGACTCAACGTCACTCCATAGTGGTTTTCCACCCAAATCTGACCCAGTTTGGCTGCCGTTTCTCGACGAACGAAGCTCACCCTTTTCCTAGTTCACGGCCGGTGATCTCCCATTTCCGGTTATCCCGATGTCTACCACCACTTGTAGTTGACTCAACTCGACCCCAGCATCAAAACCCGACCAGGGTTCAGGGTGTTGAAACACCTGCGACGACAAATCGACGTTCGAGGGTTTTTTGGGTTTCTAGCGACCCACAACCATTTTCACATTTCCTGGCGTAATTAAGCTACGTCGTAAGTAGAAAAATTACTCCTCTCTTCTCAAGCTGTAATTTGGTATAAAATGAGCCATTTTGGCGTTGGTTGGAAATTCTGGCAAGTAGTGACCGTCGGCCGCGCCGTGACCCAGGGACCCACTTAGCGCTTCTAGGCCAAATTCAATGCCCATGTTCCATATTTGACATCTGTTTGATTGAATTCTGTCGTTTTAACCTAGTTTTAACCTAGTTTCGTTAGGGTCCGCTACTTGACCTTGGTTCTATGCGATGATTTGACCATTAGATTGTCATCATTTTTTGATATATTATTTTACGTATTATTTGAGGACATTAGAAACTTACGGATTTGAAATATGATGTACGGATCTTTCATATTAAAGGAAATCTTAAATTGTTGACCTTTGTAATACACGACAATGTAATCATTGGAGCGTCACCAAATTAATATATGTTATTTTACGTAACATTGGAGGACCTTATAAACTTATGGATAATCCAATGTGCGAATATTTCAGACCGAAAAATCTTACATTATTTCCAACCAACGCCAAGTGCATTGTTTTTTGTTTAGGCCTGCAACCCAAGTTTGCGTTTTCGTTTTTAATCTAAAAGTTCATATACAAAAGTCACGGTTTCGTGATTTTAATGAGTAATTTTTGGCATGTGTATGATTATGATTTGTAGACAAGGATAATGCTAAGTTGACTAAATTTTTAAACCAAATGATGTATCACCAATAGAAAATAAACACGTTAATAATTCAATAATCAACAATCATATCATATAGTTGAAAATTTTGGTTTCGCTAGCATCATTTGGTTAGTAAAGATTAAATGAAAATACACATAATAATTACCTCATCACTTTTTATGTTGAATTAAATAATGTTTGGCAAATCAAAGGAGCTAAATAAAGCAGCTAAACATCAATAAAATAAAGTCGTTAATATGTTTGTCCAAATATCCTTGTTTTATTGACTATCCATGTGGCAATTTTCCCCGTATTATGAAAGTTATATTCTTAAACAAGGCGTTTGGTACCATAATATATTGCATATACAAAGTGTACTCGTATCATGTAAGTTGTATTTCAAGAATTGCTTATATGGTCACATATTTCAAGGAAATTGTCCACTATATTCACGGCAGAAGGCCGAACTCATGCGAACCTATGTTGCTGCCTCTTCACCATGCTCACGAGCCTCCACGTCTAGGCTTTCAAACGCTAACTGCTTGAAAAAGACTAAAGATATACAGGTAGATTTTGCATCAACTAGGAGATGTGTAGGTCCTTTTGGGTGTGTCACAGTGAAGACATAGTGAAGAAAGTCACAAGGTCATGTTTATTCCCATCGTGTTCTTCAGCCTAAAACACAAAATAGTTTTGTGGCCCCAAAAACAACCACAGTCAATTAAACATTGACACATATTCGTGTACAGTCTTACAACATGACAACATATTTGTAAATGCACTGTTTCACCCTATTGGTGTTCAAAGAGACCAACTCCTCATTTGTGTCCTTAATGTTGTACCCAAAGGTCGTTTTTCTTGTAATGTTGGATGCCTATAACGTGATTTATTTAAAGAATTTCTTGCTTCACTGCCAAAGAATTCACCGAATGAATTCTCTCAGGGCACAAATGCTTAGTACAAAGGAGCAAAAGCAGCTAAACACCAATTGGAATTGGAAATGGGGCATGAGCTAAACCAAATGATTTCACCGAATGAATTCTTATCTTATACATGTTTATTACTAAATATTTTTTTATCTGAATTTGAATAACCAGATCCGGGGCATGCTCGTACCACACAAACCTCATGGTCGAAGACCTTACTTAAGCATCCGAACTCTTAACACATGTAACTTGTATTCAAAGACTGGACTCCATGGTGATGAAAACAGGCAAAGCCAAAAGCAAATGGAAGAACAAATATAATAGAGAGATACTAAAAAAGCAAAAATAATATTAATTGAGAGAGAAAACTCCGCTCGCCATAAAGTCTAGTACAATTAATTAAGCAGATAGGCTAGGCACTTCTAGCAGCATTAGGGATACACCTATCCCAAAGATAAACATTAACAGCATAATCAAATCCAACTTCAACGTCATTAAACATCACATAAATCGAACTGAAAGATCCGATGGAACATAACAACAGATGCAACAGCTTCTCCTAGAAGCATCGTCAACAGCTTCACCTACGAGCATCATCAACAGCTTCACCGCCATAACCACAACCACCAGACAGGGTCCTCCCAAGGATAGGGACAGCATCATCTGCCACTTGCTCTCCCAATTTCTTAGCTTTACGGGCATCCAATATTGTTTTCTTAAACCAATGGTTACTAATAACTTCAAGAGATCTTTGATAACGCTCCATGGCATGAGTTTGCACCTGGTTATAATGCAGTGGAGTGTTCTGTATCTGCATCAGAAAGACGAGTGAATTGCATATCTTCAAGTAGTAATTAAAAGCATGAACAGATAGGAGCTTATACAAAATTTTGATGTGTGTCACATATCTTTACTTGTTAGTGGGAGGTTTTAGGTTCGATTCTCACCAAAGACGAATTTGTGAAGCTAAGTCTCTCTCATGTACATAATATTGTTTGTTCAAAAAACAAAAAAAAAAAAAAAACAAAAAAAACTGACAGGGTTACAAGTTTTTAAACACATCCAAGATGTCTATATTATTAAGGGACAACGATTCGGGTAAACCACACAAATGGGTGATTTCACTGTACACATATGCGTGCCTGATTAACACCCTAGCATAGACTGATACGTATATAGCTGAATCAGACCTTCAACAGAAATAGGAAGGAATCAAGGAAATGAATTCTTATCTTGATAAAACTGTTACCACTGGAATCGCACGAGGCACCCAAGAAATACATCAGACAAGATCACGAAAGTAGCAGCATAGAATCATGTGTGAACACTGGTTTCTTATTCAACAGAACCTTCAGATTAAAATTTTAATTAAAAAGTAAAAACTAATTAAAGACTTTAAAAACCAGAACATAATGGCTATCGCTTAAAATGCGTCAAATTAATTTATTACCTCAAGAAGTCGAAGTAGAGAGTGCTGCAGAATATCATATTTTTCGTATAACAATACCAATGATTCACGGGACTGTACGTCATCCCGCGCAATGCATTTATGCTTCAGCACCTCACAATGTTTCAGCATTTCTGGAGCACCAAATCCTTCACATTTCTTGGTAAGTTCCTGGGTAAACTCCAGTGCTGATGCATGGTCGGTTTCGTCGAGCTCATGAGTACATGAAGCAATTTGGGCCAACAAATCCTCAGTAGAGGGAATAAATGCAAGGATTTTACCAGCCAACTCATCGTTATTCTCAGACTTTACCACATAGTCCGTAAATGTATCATGGACAATCCCCTGCCCCAGAGAAAAGATAATTCAGTATTTGTATCCCATTAAAAAGAAATTAAATTTTAGAACATCCGTGGGTAAAGAAATCAGGATCGACAGATAGATACCGTAAAGTTTGTTAGCAGGTTTCGATTTAACCATATAATATGTTTTTTTTATTTTTTATTTTGGGTAAAAAGGTAAATATTTTACCACAAGAAACAAACAAACTTACAAACGGTACGAACAAAGGTCCAAAAACAAAAGTACATATACAAACAAAATGGACCAGCCAAGCAAACCAAAGCAAAGCCCAACCAACAACGTGGGCCCAAAACAAAAAAAACTTAAAGAAAGCCGAGAAATCCAAGAATTCGGCAGCCGCCACCGCTGCAACAGTATTTCAAGAATCGCCCAATTCCACGCCTCCAACCACCCGCCGACTTGTAGATCAGAGCATTCAACCCCAAGCACCACCTGTTATGCAGCCACCAAAGAAGAAATCAAGCAACCAGAAGAAGAATTCCGGCTACCAGAAGAAAGAAGCCCGTGGAGGTCCACGAACAACACTACCAACAAAGACACACATCAAGAAGGTGGTGGTGTTGGGACACCCTGTTGGAATTTATTAGGTTTATTTAGGAAATTAATTAGAGATTTGATTTGATTTTGTAGTAAGGTATTTTTGGCATTTACGCATTAGGGTTTCTTAGGTTTATTGCTCTATAAATAGAGCTTGTAATTTAGTTTGAGAATCAAGTTAGTCACAATGTAGGCTCTAGGGTTTTTGTAGCCGTCTCCGCATTCTCGTTTGATATCAATAATATTTCTTATTTTGTTAGTCTTGTTCGTTGCGCACTCTAATATTCGAGCCTGTGCAAGCACCGAAGCTCTACACACCATCTCAGTGAAGCAAAGTGACTGCAAATTGGGGTATGGATGAACGAGGAGGAGGAACGACAGTAGGATAAGAAGAAAAGGGCAAAACGAAATAGAAAGCAGGGGGAAAGTGCTGCCAAAGGTAGGAAGAGGAGACAAAGAAAGGAAGGAGAGATGGGCTAACCAACCCCAGCCGAAGCTAGGGTCGGCGCCCCCGATCTGCACAGAGTTGAAACCCTCAGATAAAACTGAGGAAAACCCTCAAGCAGAGAAAAAGGCTCTCACAAGGGAGAGAAAAGTTCTCTTAGATTCTCTCAATCACTTTGATCTTAAAAGGCCACCCGTATGTAACCATATAATATGTATTGAGTCAATCTGAGTAAGGGAAATTTGGGGGAAACTTCTGGTTGAAATTTAAAAGTAACGTCAATCTTCAATATTCTTCAGCACTTCCAGCTCATTTTACTACTTGGCCATTCAATATTTGTTTGAAGCAATTTGCAAAAGTAAAGATCCAATAATCTTGAAGCAAGAGCGAGTAAAATTTTGGGTTTCAGGCTACAGTAACTATGCAACAGAAGTGCGAAAGGGAGGCATGCAACTAAATGCACAAGTACACTAAAATTAAGTAGCTTACCTTGTGAATCATGGCTTGGACTAAATCCATATCAGTAGTTTTCGGATCGTAAAACCGAATTCCGGATGTAGACATTGGGTGTGAGAGAGAGAGAGAGAGAGGGTGGGTGGATATATAGAGAGGAGGAAGAAATTTGGATTCATCATAATAAAGCTAATTCTCGCTTATCATTTTTTTGTGTTTTTTGTTGTAAGTTTAAATTTTCTGGTTAGTTGTAGCAAATAAATCTTGGTTCTTATATTTTGGGTAAATAATTGGATTTTTTTTTCTGCTTGACATAAGAAAGAAAACAATTTACTAGAGATGGAAACCTCAGCTGAAGCTGAACAAGGACAGAGGGTAGATCTTTTTAACTTTTCTTTTTCACCTCCACTATCCAAGCTAGGAAAGCTCGTTGGAATGTTAGGTGACTAAGGTTAGCTACCTCTTTCAAATATTTTTTTTTTTAAATTTTTTTATCAGAGCTACCTCTTTCAATTGTTTGTGAAGATTTGCTCTTCAATAATTTCGAAAATTGGTCTGTGAGATGATTTTTAGGTGTTGCCTTTGACACTTTTTTTTTAATATCCTTTTACTTGCATTAGCTTTAGACGGCATGGATAGTGCAGAGATGTGTAGAACGAGAAAATTTTCATTCTGACGGGAATACGGGTAATACATTACGTGTTTTTATAGAAGTAGTGAGAAATTTTATTTTTTAAGTTATTAACTTTTTAACACACATATTCCACCATTATATAATAACACATGGTGTACCACCCTATGTGCCGGTCACACTGAAAAATCTCTCGTGTAGAACCAAAAATGAATGGTGCTTCTCAAACTTATCCCTAATCAACTGTTGGGAAAGTGATTCCGTGTGCGATTGTGAGTTATACATGCAGTGCTTTTTGCTTACCATGAATGAAATTTATTGCATGTGGACAACATGGGATGGAGGAACTGGATCCTCTCCGAGGCAAACCCTCGGGATCCTGCTAAGTAACAAACACGCGTCATTGGATTTCGATCCAACGGCTACAAATAGGGGGTCCCTCTTAAAGTTATAATAATTGTAGTCGTTGGATCGAAATCCAACGGCCAGTGTTTGTCACTTAGCAGGATCCCGAGGGTTTGCCTCGGAGAGGATCCAGTTCCTGGGATGGAATCCCAAGTTATTTCGATGCGGACAATATCGGATGCAAGCCCAAGTTATTTGGTTCTCTTCTCAAAGAGCAATTTTAGTTGAGGTGTAAAAAGAAAAACAAATGAAAGAATGAGTTTGTCACTCACTACTAAAGTCTGATGGTATGATATTTGTCTTCACTTGTAAGTAAGAAGTCTTAGGTTCGAATCTCATATATGGTAAATTCGATACTAAATTAAATTGCTTATTGTGTGGCTTAACGTAATCCCCCTCCTCTTAGTATAAAATATATCGTTGTACTAAAAAAAATGAAAGAATGAGTACGAGTTCAACATGATTGAGGGTGTTTGACTTAATTTAATGATGAATTGTTGTGTTCGGAGGCAATTAAGTTTTTGGGATTTAGTTTAATCATGAAATGTTGAGTTCAACATGATTGAGGGTGTTTAATTTATTTTAATTTAATCACGATTGAGGGTGTTTAATTTAAAATAAGTGTAAAAAAACCGACTACGCTTAATGAGATAAAACTTTGTTATATGAAATGTTGGCTTTACAGATAAACTTTAAGTCTCACCAACAATAATAAATTAATATAAGTGTAGATACAATGTTGGTTGCATAAGAAAAAAAAACAATTATTGGGTCAAACAAAATTTTACTAATAGATAATTGAATAACGATTACTATACGTGTATGTTTAATTCAAAAGTTTCCTAATGGATAATTTTCCAAATGGTTCTCAAGAAATTATAGTTCATGATAAATAACATGTCAAAACAATCAGTGTATTACCGCTGAGGATCCTCTTTGGAGAGAGATTTTTCAATGTGACCGTCACATGATGTGGTACACCATGTGTCGCTATATAAATGGTGGGATATGTGTGTTAAAAAGTTAATAACTTAAAAAATAAAATTTCCCACCACTTACATAAAAACACGTGGTGTACCACCCGTGTTCCCGTCACAACTAAAAATTTCTCCTCTTTGGATCTTCTTTGTGACGATTATGAGGATCTTCCAATCATATTCGTTCATCGCACATCATGTGGCTAGAAATCATTGTAAATTTTTTTTATTCAAAATTGCATATAAACAGTACATGACGGTGAACGAATCTTATTGAAAGATCTCTGGGATCCTCACAAAGACGATCCGAAGAGAATCCTCATTCATGTATAACAATATAGTTGGATTGCACGATTAGACACCAAAAAAAATAAAGTTGCGTGCATTTCATTTATTCAAATCTTGAATTATCCTGAACGTTCTAAATTTTGAACCAATGTATGGGAATTGTACTGACCTAGTTTTTTTTTTCTTTATTTATTTATTTTACCTTGAATTATAGTTCATGATAAATAACATGTCAAAACAAGTGTATTACAATATGGTTGGAAAGTTACGGATGTCTATTTTCTTAAGCATTTTGCGGCTTGTTAATATCATTTTTTTAGAAGTTATGCCCGTTTTAACACTGAAAGGTTCCAAGAGGCTGAGTAGTTTGTAATTGACAAGAAAGCAATGAAAGCAATGAAAGCAATGAACCCAATGAATCTAGCAGCCAAAACTGATGCAACCAAGAACAAGCCAGCTGACACCTATTCAAATATCAAAGGAAATGGAATTAAAGATGAGGATTAAGTGGGAGTAATTGGCATAAAGGCTACCCAAAGAGTTACAATTGTTTTACCATTTCCTCTCACTTATTGTCATCACTAAATTGCTATTACTGGGGGGAGTTATGGAGAAGAAAATATGCAGCAAGGATTTGGTTTAAAAGAACGTTGCGGAAGGAAATAAGGGGGAGTTTTACATAAATAATTTTTTAGAAAAGAAAAGAAAATAGAAGGCTGCAAGTTGCAGCGGCAAGGAAGAAAAAGAGAAAACAAGAGGGCAGTTGCATTGAGAGGACGAGAAGCAATAGATGAGGAAGGAGGAAATCTTGGCATTCTCTCTTTTCGGTTTTATCTTCTCAAACTCATGTCTTTCTTTTGGTTTAATTTAAGGATTATCTGTAACTAATTTTTAGAAGTTAGGGGCTGTTTTGAAGTCCCGAATATGATTGCAAGTTTGTTATGACATTTCGTTTCAATCATTTTTATGAATGGATGAAAATTGGTTCACTACTTTTGTCAGTGATGAATTCTTTATATGTTTTCTATGGATGCTACTTAGTAAGCATATCTAGGATTCTAATGCTATGAATATGTGTGTGCTTGCCCTTGTCGAATGAGGATCAACATATGTTCTAGAGTAGTACTTGTTAATTGTGATTAACTTGTGAACCAATTTCTAGGATAAGTAAGACAATGTCAGTCCTTACGATGCCTTGTGATGACTCAAACACTTTTCGTTCTTAATGATTTCTACTTGTTAAATCTATGAACACGCCATTCTAGATTGCATGCTAGGGACTAAGTTAAGTTGAAAACTCCATTCTATTAACATACTACGTAAGAAAGAGTAATAAGTTATGTTCTAACATTGAACCGACCTGAGCATCTTCATCCGGAAATAAAAGGAATTCGAATGAAACATAACATGTTTGCATGATTATTTGGTGGTGGATAGCACTTCCCCTAACTCGTTTTCTTAATTTGTGAAATACAATATGTTTTTATAATTTAAAATCCGTTTTTGTCCTTTTTTTGTTTGATTGAATTTAAATAGAAAATCAACTCCAAAAATCCCAAAATTTGATGCCATATTTGGTGTATGAATCATTGAACCTTGGAGAGTTGAAGGAAACAAGGGTAGTAATCCAATTGGCATATCATTCATATAGATATCCTAAAGGTCTATTGGAGGATGTCTTGTGCAAGTGAATGAGCTCATTTTTCCAGTTGACTTTTTTATTCTTGAGATGGAACATGACCTTATGCCTACTGCACTTCCTCTTATATTGGGAAGACGGTTCCTTAGAATGGCTCATATGAAGATTGACGTCTACGACGGCACCTTAACCATGAAAATTGATGGAGAGAGCAAGTTAAGAATCTTCGATGCTATAAGGTATCCTAGTGATTTTGAATCTTGTTTTTCTATTGATGCGTTTGACTATTTTGTGCATGATTGTTTTAATGAAGGTGTGGGACAAGATAATTTAAAGAAGATGTAAGTGCATAGCATTACACATGGAAAGCTTAATTCTTCCGAGCACATTGAAGAAGAATTAATTCAGACTGTGGCAGCCCTTGTGTCTATTCCGCCAATTCGTGGTAAGTCTTCTTCTCATTTTACTTCTCTTCCTACTTCTAACGAAAAAACTCTTCATTTTGTGATTCAGGCACCCAAATTGGAGTTTAAACTAATTCCTGAACATTTGAAGTATGCATTTTTGGTAAAGGATGAAACATTGTTGGTCATCATATTGTCACAACTCATTGCAGTAAAGGGGGAGAAACTAATCCGATACTGAAGGATCACAAAACTGCCTTGGAGCATTGCAGATATCAAAGGTATAAATTCAGCTACATGTATGCATATGATTATGTTGGATGAAGGTGCAAAATCAACAAGGGAAGCTCAACGCCGTTTAAACCCACTCATGATAGAGGTCGTCAAAAAAGAGGTTATCAAACTTCTTGATGTTGACATCATATATCCTATCTCGAACAACAAGTGGGTGAGCCTTATTCAAGTAGTTCCTAAGTGATCTGGAGTTACAGTTGTTAAAAATGAAGCTAATGAGCTAGTGCCTACACATGTGCAAAATAGTTGGAAAGTCTGTACAGACTATCGGATGATAAACAGCACCACACGCAAGGATCACTTTTCAGTCCCATTCATTGATCAAATGTTAGAAAGGTTAGCTGGTTATTCTCATTATTGCTTTCTTGATGACTATTCTAGATATAATCATATTGCAGTTGCTCCAAAGGGTAAAGAAAAGATCACTTTCACATGTCCATTTGGCACATTTGCATATCGAAGGATGCTGTTTGGACTTTGCAACGCCCCTGCCACATTTCAAAGGTGTATGGTAAGTATCTTTCTTATATGATTGAGAAAATAATTGAAGTGTTCATGGATGATTTTTCTAGTTATGGTAATTCTTTTGATACATGTCTACATAATCTGTCCCTAATTTTAAAACATTGTCAAGAAGCTAATCTAGTCTTAAATTGGGAAAAATGTCATTTCATAGTTTCGCATGGATTAGTTCTAGGACATATCATATCTGAAAAAGGAATTGAAGTTGATAAATCTAAAGCAAAACTTGTTAGTTCTTTACCTTTCTCTACTGGCAGGGAGGTTCGTTCTTTTCTTGAACATGCAGGTTTCTATCGAAGGTTTATGAAGGACTTCTCAAAGATTTCTAGATCATTGTGCCGTTTGCTTAAAAAAGAGTGTGTGGCAGCATTCAACAAGCTTAAGGAGTTGTTATCAACGGCTCCTATGATCATGCCACCAGATTGGAGTTTACCTTTTGAGTTAATGTGCGATGCTTCGGACTATGCAATGGGTGCAGTTCTAGTGCAGCGTGTCAACAAAGTGACACATGTTATCTATTAGGCATTTCAGATGCTTAATGATGCACAATTGAATTATTCAACAACAGAGAATGAGCTTTTAGCTGTTATATTTGCTTTAGAAAAATTTAGATTTTATCTGATTGGGACTAAAATTATTTTGTTTTTTTACCATGAAGCTTTGAAGTATCTACCCATAAAAAAGGATGCAAAACCACGACTCATTCAATAGATACTTTTGCTTCAAGAGTTTGACTTGGAGATCAATGATAAGAAAAGGAGCGAGAATGCGATAGCAAACCATTTAAGCAGACTTGTGCATTCGAACGCAGAGGAAGATCTCATCCTTTTACGCGAGAGTTTTCCAAATCAACAATTGTTTTCATTAGAGATTACTGACCCTTGGTATGTAGATATTATCAATTATAAGGTCACTAAGAAGATTCCAGATAACTTTACATATGCTCAGAAAGATAAGCTTGTCAAAACCGCCAAATACTACGAGTGGGATGATCCTTATTTGTGGAAATATTGCCCTGATCATTTGATTAGAAGGTGTGTCCCTGAATCTGAGTTTAAATTTATTCTAACTTTTTGTCATTCTTATGCATGTGGCGGCCATTTTGGAGCAAAGAGGACAGCCCTTAAGGTGTTAGAGAATGATTTTTATTGGCCTAGTTTGTTTAAGGATACGTATGAGTTTTGTGCAACATGTGATCGTTGTCAACGAACAAGTAACTTGGGCCCAAGAAATCAAATGCCATAAACCCTTATTTTGATTGTTGAGGTCTTTGATGTGTGGGGCATTGATTTCATGGGACCCTTTTCATCTTCAAATGGTTTCTTTACATTTTATTGGCTATTGATTATGTTTCTAAATAGCGAAAGCCAGCAAAACTAATGATTCAAAAGTTGTTTCAAATTTTATTAAACATCTTTGCAATATTTGGAACACCTAGAGCAATCATCAACGATGGAGAGAGTCACTTTTGTAATAGAACATTTGAAGCATTGCTTAGGAAGTACAATGTCACACATAAGGTGTCTACACCTTATCATCCACAAACTAATGGCCAAGAAGAAGTATCGAACCATGAGGGAAGCAAATTTTGGAAAAAACTGTGAGTCATAGTAGGAAGGATTGGAGCATGTGCTTGAACGATGCATTGTGGGCTTATAGGACTGCTTATAAGACTCCCATTGGAATGTCTCCCTTTCGGTTAGTTTATGGGAAACCATGTCATCTTCCAGTAGAGTTAGAGTACAAAGCTTATTGGGCGATCAAAGCCTACAACATGGACATGAGTGTCACCGGAAAGCAAAGGAAGCTTCAATTGAATGAGTTAGACGAAATCTTGAATGATGCGTACGAGTCTAATCGAATATACAAGGAGAAATCAAAGGCATTTCATGACAGGATGATCTTAAGGAGGAGCTTTGTCATTGGACAAAAAGTTCTTGTATTTAATTCTTGCCTTCGGTTATTTCTAGGTAAGCTTCGTTCTCGATGGGTTGGTCCATTTGTTATAACTGATATTTTTCCTCGTGGTGCAATGGAATTCCAAAGTGCGAAGACATGGAACGTGTTCAAAGTGAATGGGCATACACTCAAGCCATATTACGAGTCTTTTGTGGAGCATGATGTGGAGGTTATACCCAAGTGGCTAAATGATATACCCAAGTGTGCACCTGAACATGAAACTCCATACGATGCACAAAAGAACACATTTAATCTTTGAAACTGCAAAGCAACCTACTACCGTCCAACAAACATGCGATCCCTTCCCCTTCCTCCTTCAGCATGTGCTTCTCCTCCACTAAACATGCATTGTCAGATCAAATTCCATCAAAGTGCCAATCAAGATAAACAAATTCACACAGATTTCAGTACCAACTTTTTCATCATTTTCTCATCAACCAAATAGAAAAAATAAAAAACAAATTTGATTCAATTCAATTTACCTTACGTAGCGAGATAAGAGGTTGATGAATTCGTTCTTCTCATTCTCACTGCAAAAAAGGAAGAGCTAGATCAATGAATCAAGCTCAGATCACACAAAAATCATGAAAATCCAGAAAATTGGATTTTCTGTAAACAAGAACTGTGACGTAAACAAGAACTGTGACTTGACAAGTAAGAATATATTATAACCCAAGATCCAATTCCTTCCTTCCAACTAAACTGAAAATTGTGACGCGATTCACTGAGACTCTCTGGAAACAAGAACAATCACCCTCTCATCCATCCCTCCCTCCATCTCTCTCTCTCTCTCTCTCTCTCTCTCTCGATCTCCTCTCTCTTGATCTCCTCTCTCTCTCTCTCCTCTCTCTCTGTCGATCTGCAATTGTTATTTAATTATATATCCTAAAACCAAATGCATGATAAACCAGGACCACAAGAGAATAAATAGTCTAGGAAAAGAAAAGGCAATTAGCCACTCTCACCCACATAAACATGTCCATGTACGTTCACATATGATTTTAGTCAATTGCATATACACATATTAGAAGTACAACTCACAAGCATCGTATTGTTACCAAAAAAGAAGCAATATTGTTCGATAAAAAAAAGTGAAGCAACATCGGCCCTTGTTGTCTGAAAACTAACCTTTTTATTGGACCCTTTCTCGAATCAATACCTATACATGCCATTATATCTTCAAGACTCATAATATCGCCATGGTTGTGTTTTAGAGCAACTCCACCCATAGAGCCATCCCCCTGGCAATCCACTATTGAATCCACCCTATTGAACAGTAACTGCCACCAATGAATAGTAATTGTCATTAATGAACAGTAATTGCCATTTGCATCTCCACCCTTGGAGCCCTCCCCCCTGGCAATAGGCAATTAAAATAATAATTTTTTTTGTTTGTTTAAATAATAGTTTATACATTAAAAATATTATAATATTAATCCAATTAAAAAAAATTAAAAAAAAAAAACCCGAACCCATTTCTTCCACCACTCCTCCCACCCCCAAGAACCCCCTGCAAAAACCAGACCCGAACCCATTTCTTCCACCTCTCATCCCACCCCCGAGAACCCCCTGCAAAAACCAGAACCTAGCTACCTCCTCCCCCACCCTGCCTTCCCCCCCCCCCCGGCGACAACCCACCCTGCCTTCCCCCCTACGACGACCCACTTCTCTTCCGCACCCACTTCCCCTGCGACGAACCCAGCTCCGGTCCCCCCTTCTCTCTCTCTCTCTCTCTCTCTCTTTCTCTCTGACACAAAAAAAATAAAAAATTACAAAGCCCTCGGGCCACAGGCCCGTCGACTCCCCACCCCCCCTCGCTCGGGCTCCCACCCTCACTCGGGCTCCCACCCTCACTCGGGCCCTTCATGGCTGGACCCATTTCGACCGGCCCTCAGGCCCTTGGAAGGAGGCTGTCCCCCGAGCAACATGCAAGGGTGGACTTGCTCTTAATAGATTGCAACTTCCCATAAATGCAGCAGACTCGAGCACTGACAAATTCTTTACCTTATCTTTCACACATTCCTTCAGAATAAATGACGCACAAATCCACAGCCACGTAATACAAGTCAGAAAATTCTAAGCTGCTAAACATAAATACTCAAATAAAAACATTCTAAAAGTGGACTAACCATTTAGTAACTTAAACTTGATAAACGACTCAACAGGTAATGTTAAAAGGCATCCAAATCAGGTAGGAGGTTGGAATACCAACATATTGGTATTTGGATAATGAGGCCTTATCAAATCCCAAACCAGAAACACCAAGCAAACCTTGCTAGTGGTATTGGAATACGACTCTTAATCCCGCAGCATCGTACGGGCATTCCTAGATAGTGGTCTCTAAATCAAGACTTATGCCTCGAGGCCTCATGTTATGCAAAATGTGCAACCCACTTCCACTCTCCACCCAGTGTCATTCAAAAAATCATTCACTGACCAAACCAAACAAGCATATCCTCAAATTGAATGAGAGTGTGTCGTGTGCTGTGTGCCGTGTAGGGATGAAGGGTAGAGTTTAAGGTCTCACCAATCAATTGGAAGTTACGGGGTGCAATTGTCCCGCAGAAAGGTCAAAAAATTTCCAACTCCAAAGCAGTTATGCGTTCCACAGGTTCATAAAACAGGTCAGTACCAGCCACTGATCAAATAGATAGATCAACCTATCGATCTTAAGCTTGTTGAAAACTAAATTGATACTTGCACTCATGAGTCCACACAAATAGGGAGTCGTGCACAGACACTAGTACGATCCTAAATCATGGTTTGCCTCCCTTCCCTTATGTATTCTCTTATGGTTGATTACAACAATTCTCCACATTTTTTTCTTTCAACAAACACGGCAGTTGGATGATTGTTTTACAAAACACCTAAGCTAAATCCTTTATTACCATTTTTTTCCTTTCAATTCTCCAAATCAACTGAATCTAATACAGATCAAGAACAATGAAAAGCAAGCTAGAGAAGCAGAGCAACATGTCCATTTCTCAAATTGAATGGCAGCCAACCCAAGCAAAAGCACAAATACAAGAGAAGGAGTGGAAAGAAAACACAAATTCATATGAAACAGATTGTTAACAAGTGAAATGGCAATAAAATTAATTAATGGGGGAGAGATTTGGGTACCTTAGCTGTCAGAAGTGCCCTCTGGCTCTGGGGTAATCGTATTGAACCAGGTGAAAGCCTTATCCCCCTCATCCTCCTCTTCATCCTCCTTCTTATGGCCATGAAACATAGTAGTTCCTGCCCACAAAAGTCTTCTCCCTTAACAGGCTGGACTGGTCCACAGGAATCATCACAATAGCCTTCATTAATCCAGTTAAGGATTGCTTGATGGTTGGTTCCCTGATTTTTGGTTAATTTCCATGTTTTGCCATCTCTCTCTAAGAAATCTACAGCTCTCTCTAACTTTCTAAATGATCTAAATATATATATATATATATATATATATATATCTCTCTTTCATAACTGATCAAATTAAGCAGATAATGAATTAACTGTGAAATGTAGAAAAATAGAGAGAAAAGAGCAACAGAAACAAAAGTATCCAAAGTGATGAATCAAGAAAAGAAAAATGAGTAATAAGTGACTGTAACATAAAGAGAAAAATAAGCACATGATCGATGCTCTCTACCACTAAATCGAGAGAGAAAGAAAGAGATAGAGAAAGAGTCTGCTATACAAACTGCCAAAACCAGTTCAGCCATACTCTGGCTCTGGGGTAATTGTATTGAACCAGCTGAAAGTCTCATCCTCCTGCTCATCCTCCTCATCATCCCCTTCCTCCACTTCCCCTCCTCATCCCTCTCCCTCTCCTCCCTATCATCCTCCTCATCCCCCTACTGCCTCTCCTCCCATTCATCCTCCCCTCTTCCTCCTCCTCATCCTCCTCCTCATCCCCATCATCCCCCTCCTCATCCCCCTCATCCATCTCTTTCTCCTCATCCCCATCATCCTCCCCCTTCCTTTTTCCTTTCCTCATCCCATTTCTCATCCTTCTCTTCATCCTCCCCCTCCACCCCTTCCTCCTCATTCTCTCTTTCATCCCCTTCCTTTTTCCTTTCCTCATCCCATTTCTCATCCTCCTCTTCATCCTCCCCCTCCACCCCTTCCTCCTCATTCTCTCTCTCCTCCCTTTCCTTTTTCCTTTCCTCAATCCCATTTCTCATCATCCTCTTCATCCTCCTCCTCCTCCTCCCCCTCATCCCCTTCATCATCCCCCTAATTCCCCTCCCCCTCCTCCCTCAACCCCTCATCATTCTTCTCCTCCCCCACCACCACCTCCTCATCCTCCCTCTCATCCCCCTCCCTCTCATCCTCCTCCTCATTCTCCTCCTCCTCCTCCTAGATGAATTGTCATTGAAGTTTGGAAGATATTATACTTGCTACATCCAACAAGAGGCATATCCTTCTTATCTTTCCCATCACCATTTTAATATACATTTGTGTTGAGCTATTGTACAAAAAGTTTCCATACGACTCTCAATCCCGTAACATCGAGCGAGTATTCCTTGCTAGTGGTCTCTAAATCGAGACTTAGGCCTCGAGGCCTTATGTTATGCAAAATGTGCAACCCACTTCCACTATCCACTCTACACTCTTCACTCTTCACTCTCCATTTTCCACCCAGTGTCATTCAAAAAATCATTCACTGACCAGACCAAACAAGCATATCCTCAAATTGAATGAGAGTGTGCCGTGTGTTGTGTGTCTTATGGAGGTGAAGGGCAAAGTTTAAGGTCTCACCAATCAATTGGAAGTTGCGGGGTGCAATTGTCCCACAGAAAGGTCAAAAAATTTCCAACTCCAAAGCAGTTTTGCGTTCCATATGTCCATAAAATAGGTCAGTACCAGCCACTGATCAAATAGATAGATCAACGTATCGATTTAAGCTTGTTGAAAACTAAATTGATACTTGCACTCATGAGTCCACACAAATAGGGAGCCGTGCACATACACTTGTACGATCCTAAATCATGGTTTGCCTCCCTTCCCTTATGTATTATCTTCTGGTTAATTACAACAATTCTCCACCTTTTTTTCTTTCAACAAACACGGCAGTTGGATGATTGTTTTACAAAACACCTTAGCTAAATCCTTTATTACCTTTTTTTCCTTTCAATTCTCCAAATCAACTGAATCTAATACAAATCGAGAACAATGAAAACCAGAAAATTGAAAGAACAAAAATAGAAAGTAAGAAAACTAAAACAAATTTATTAAAAATGGAGGAAACCACAAAATTGCAAAACTAAAACCAAA